AAGCCCTTTGATAGGACCCCTCAGTGCAAATGTCCAACGAGGTTTTTAGACAGATCTACCACTTTTGGGCTCCAGCTTTCCCTTCCTTACACTTGATTAGAGACTAATTTTATCCTTGATCCAATTCTTATACCAAAATTTCATAATTTCTTATCATGTTTCTTTCTCACTTGCTGAAAAACTTTGGTTAGTTGGAAATAGACCAATTCCTTTAGATTACGCTATTTTTCTCATGTATATACCTCATACTTGGATTGAAAATAATTAGTAAACTCATTATTTATTCAAAAATCGCTCATTTTCTCTACGAACAATATATTTTTGCCTAATATTCGCCTAGTTTCGTTTAGAATTAATTTGCTATTCATATGAGTTATTAATACCAATTTTTGATCAGATATTTTAATTGATTACTATGCTGCTCTGACTAATAATTGAATAGAAGACTTTTAGTCCAGCTAGTTAGACTTAATCGTCTGCTTTACCATCTTTGGGGCTTTGCAAACTACATAATAGAGAATTCTTTATTTAGTATAGAATTTGAATTTTTCTCTTCGCTATCTTTGACTTTTCCCTTCTGCAGATGATGTCCTTGCGAGAAGAATTTTCTAGGTTCTATTTGTCTCATCACCAGGGTCGCCGACTGACTTACGAACCCTCCCTCGGAACCTGTGTAGTGAAAGCCACATTTGACAAAGTAATGGTTGTAGATTTTTTACTTCATACCTTTTAGCTCTACTCTTATTGTTTTGCTATAGCATAAGACAATTAATATCCGATAGGAAAACCTAACACGAATTTAATCAAGGTAGTACATTATTTCTTTATGGTCTAACGAGGACTGATTCACGTAGCCTTTTTGAGACTCGAACTCTAACAATAGCAGTCCAAGTCGGATTGTAGCAGCCCATATGGGCGTGTAAATAAAAAAGATTATGGAAGTTGTTTGACCTTGCTTTCGCAACTTGGTCATGTTGGTAGGAAGATTTAGAGGAACGCACCTAGTCTGGAGTCCATTGTATCCATCATCATTTCCAGAGTAGGACAGTGAACATGT